AACCTCCCTGGGCAATCTTGTTCCCACTGCCTCTGGTCTTGTAACTGGGTACCAATGAAAAGAGCCTGTCTCTGTCCAATTTGCACCCTCCCCTCAGGTATTTAGATACATTGCTGGGAGCTTTCTCTTCTCTAGGTTCAACAGCCCCAGCTCTCTCAGTTTTTCCTCATAGAAGAGTCATGTCAGTCCCTTAATCATATTTGTGGCCGTTTGCTGGACTGTCTCCAGTATGACCATGTCTCATACTGAGAAGCCCAGAACCGGACACATCACCACAGATGTGGCCTCACCAGTGCTGAGCAAAAGGGGAAGGATCACCTCCCTTGACCTGCTGCCAATACTTTGTCTAACAGCCTAGGATACCATTAGCCTTCTTTGCTGCAAGGGCATGTTGCTGGTCCGCATTCAGTTCCACCAGAACCTCCAGTGCCTTTTCTGCCAAGCTGCTTTCCAGCTGTCTAGGCCCCAGCACATCCTGGAGCCCGGGTTTGTTCTTCTCCAGGTGCAGGACTTTGCACTTCTCTTTGTTGAACTTCATGAGGTTCCCGCTGGCCCATTTCCCCAGCCTGTCAAGGCCTCTCTGGATAGCAGCGTGACCCCTTGTTATATCAGCTCCTCTTCCCAGTTTTGTGTTAACAGCAAACTTGGTGAGGGTACAGTGACCCATCATTCAGATCATTAATGAAAATGTCAAACAAAACTGGATCCAGTTTTGACCACTGGGAAACACTGCTAGTTACTGGTCTCCAACCAGACTTTGTACCACTGATTACTACCCTCTGGGCCCAACTGTTCAGACAGTTTTCAGTACACCGCACTGTCTGCTTTTCCAGTACATGACATTTTCTCTATGTATAGATCTTAGGAGAGGCAGTGTTCAGAGGTACAAGGTAGTGAAGTCTAGGTAGACAATATTCACTGCTCTCCCCTCATCTACCAGGCCAGTAATTTCCTTATAGAAGTTTACCAAGTTGGTCAACCATGACTTTCTCTTGGTGAAGCTACGCTGATGATTTTTTTGTCTTTGATGTGCCTGGAATTGTTTCCAGAACTAGCTGCTCCATCACCTTTCTGGAGATCAAGGTGATGCTGATGGGCCTGTAATTCCCTAGGTTCTTCTTGAAGATAGCAACGTTTGCTTTCCTCCAATCTTTGGGTACTTCTCCCAGTCGCCATGACCAACCAAAAATTACTGAGTTGTAATGCCTCACAATGACATCTGCCAGCTTCATCCTGTAAGAGCTCATGAACTTATGTACGTCCAGTTTGCTTAAGTATTCCCTGATCTGATCCCCTTCCACCAAGGGTCATGTTCCTTGCTCCTTCCCTTCACACCCCTGGGACCTGGAATTCCCAAAGACCAATCTTGCTAAGACTGAGGCAAAGAAGGCATTCAGTACCTCAGCCTTTTCCACGTCCTGTGTACTCAGCGCCTCTGTCTCATCAAGCAAAGGGCCCACATTTTCCCTAGTCTTCCCTTTGACTTCTATGCACTTATAGAAGCCTTTCTTGTTGCCTTGGACATCCCTGGCCAGATTAGATTCCATCTGGGCTTTCTTAACTTTGTCCCTGAATGCTTAACAGTTCTGTATTCCTCCCGGGTTATTCATCTTTGCTTCCACTCTCTGTATGCATCCTTTTTATGTTTGAGTTTGGTTAGGAGCTCTATGTTTATCCACGCAGGCTTCTTGGCCTTTTTGCCTGACTTCATATGCATTGGGATGGAATTCTCCTGAGCTTGAGGGACGTGATCCTTGAATATTAAGCAGCTTTCTTGGGCCCCACTTCCCTCTGAGGCCTTATCCCACAGGACTCTTCCAAGCAGATCTTTGAGGAGGTCAAAGTTGTCTCTCCACAAGCCTACGGTTGTGAGCCCTCCTCCCTGCCTCCAGGATCCTGAACTCTTATCATCTCATGTTCATTGTAGCCAAGGCTGCCTTTGACCTTCACATACCTGACAAGCCCCTCTTTGTTGGTGAGTAGGAGGTTCAGAAAAGCACCTCTCCTATTTGGCTCCTCTATCACTTGGAGGAGGAAGTTGTTGTCAATGGACTCCAGGAGCCTCCTAGGTTGCTTATGTCCTGCTGTGTCTCTCCATCAGATATTGGGTGGTTGAAGTCCCCCATGAAGAGCAGGGCCTGTGAATGGGAGACTGCTTCTGCATGTCTGTAGTGGGCATGATCCACTTGTTCTTTCTGGTCAAGTGGCATATAGCAGACACCCACTATAATGTCACCTTGACTTGCCCTCTCCATAAACCTAACCCATCACCCTCAGCTGGCTCCTCATCCACCCCCAGGCAGAGCTTCATGCACTCCAGCTGCTCTTTCACCTAAAGGGTAACTCTCTTCATCTTCCCTGACTGTCCTTCCTAAAGGGCCTGTAACCCTCGATCATAACACTCCAGCCATAGGAGCCATCCCACCATGTCTCCATGATTCCAACAAAACCATAGCCATGCAAATGTACACAGATCTCTAACTCATCATGTTTATTCCCCAGACTGTGTGCACTAGAGTACAGGCACTTTAGAGAGGCACCCCAGCACATTTGAGTTCCTGGAGATGGTTTGGGGGATTTGTCCATTATAGTGCCTTGTAGCACTTTATGCCATGCAAGTGTTGGGGGTGAACTCATCTAAGGCCCATTTTGTTATCCCTTCCTGTCACATCAATGAAGGTAGGTCAGTAAATAGGTAAAAGAGCAAAAATGTCTATTTTCCACTGTAGTGTTTGAGCAGTAAGCTACTGTTAAGAACAAATGGAGAGACAACAAAATGCTTGTGTTTGTTGTAACAGCACAGCAAAACTCAAAGTTGTTCAATTTAGACTGAAAGTAAAAGTTAATTGAGCTGCCTGTCACTTTATATCCTCACACAAGTGACACGGTGTTGAGACATTCCTGTTCATCTGGCATTTTGAAGATGAGGTAAAGCTGCAGGAGCCATGCTTAGAGCCATGCAAAGTGACATCACAGATATATACCAGATATGAACTAAGCCTCAGAGCTAAACAGATTGTTAACAGACCTAGTTTGAACTTCAGCACATGCTTGTCTGAAAGCAAGTGTGTTCTGACTGAATTAATCACACTTCCTGTGAAGTTTAGCAAGCGATAGACAAAAAGATGGTTTTATAGCCTACATAGGAATTATAAAGAATTATAAACTCATCCATCTTTCACTGAGATGCCTCAGATAACTGTCTAGATCTAGGTTAAGCGTGCAGGTAAATGCTCAGTCTCCAAGCATACTGCAGTCACTAGCAGAAATTTTTTTTAAGATTCTTGACACTACATGATCTAAATTATAGTACATTAAAGGAAGAATTGGTATTTCCTGTGAATTGTAGGTACTTCTTATCAGGTTGGGAAGCAAGCTCACTGGAAGTACATGTTCTGCAAACAGGACATAATGAATTACTCCTGTAATAACAGAGAGGGAACAGAAACAAGCACTGACATCCTGAAGCAATTGCATAATGTCTACACACTCAATTTTTTTAAACCAAGATGAAGACCTCTCAACACATCTAGAAATACGTAGATTCCTTTTTTATAGTTCTGTTAGAAAGGGAGAAGGACACTTTCATTTCCTCCACAATTCTCTTAGGAGTCCCGAAAAAGACACAATGCAATAGGTACTGAAATTTTCACTTCCATATTGGAGAACCAAAGAATGCTCACTTGTCCTATTTAAGATGAGCTTTTTAGTGAATTGAGCTAATGAAATTTAGGTCATGACAAATTTAGTCAGTGGACAAGTATGCCTTTGAGACTTTTCTTGATTCAAAGACTTTTCATCATAACTCTTGATACCATGCTTATTCTTTCTACAATAATTTTAAGGTGTGTGACAGTGATGGTGAAGATCAACACTTAAAAATCCTGGATTTTTGTAGAATAATTACATAATTGTTTTTAGAAATAATGACCACTTACTTTTCACCTCAGACTGATATCAGTATTCCTACAGGAAGAATGATATGCAATCCCACTGGGAACTTAACTATGTCCTGTCAAACAGGATGCACATTTTCTTAAAAAAATATTTGAGCACTTATTTACCACAGTAAATCTTTAAAGGTAGTTTATACCACTTTTTTCACTTTAACCAATACTAGTTAAAAGTACTCCCTCTCTGTGTTATCCATAAGCACAAACTCAAACTTCATGACCCTGACGGAAGCGTGCATGACCACTTTTATCCATTCATGTTTTTTTTTTTTTTTTTCCTAGTTCCCATTAATACAATTAGCCCATTTTCTTTTGAGCAACTAAAGCATCAGAGACAAACCTGGCAATCTGTCACACTTCCCTTTGCTGACTGGCTATTTTGGCTACAACTTGCCAGTCTGCCTCAGATTTGACTTTTACTGCTATTTTCATGACTCAGGTCTTTGTTAAATTACACAGAAAATCCTGGAGAGCTTTTAAGTAGTTTTGTTGTTTCTTTCAATAGAGACCACATGGAATGAAGACTAACACTGCTGTTCTTCCCATCTGTTGGTTGTTGTTGCTTGTCTCAAAGGTTATCTTGTCATAATGGTGTTTGAGAGATGGATCTGCTCTGGGATACATATACTCACAGTCCCCCATTAAATTCAACTTGGTGAGGTGCTGTACTAGTTTAGCAGTCCAGATTGGTTCACTGTCTCCATTTCCCCTCTGTGAAAGTCATCCTTCCCACATGAGTACTATCATGCTATGACAAAAATCACTTAATCTTCTCCTGAATGAAAATATTTAATGCTGTAACACATACATTCCAGATTTGACATTATCTGTTGCTGTCCTCTGAAACCATTTCTCCTTCCCAGACCTTTCCTGAAACAGCCGCAACATTACTAGAAGTAACAGTTCAGTAACACTCTGGTTGATAATGTACTTATGCTTTCTCCTTGGCCCTATGTCTGAGATAACACACTTTAGCTACAGTATCAGACTAAGTTTAAACTCAAGGGATTAGTTACCAAGACCCAAAGACATTTCATAATTTCTTACATCAGAATGCTTCTGTCCAAATCCTTCCTGTTTGCCGAGAGCCACTGCAACATGATGATGGTCATCTAACAGGGTTTCCTAGTAAAGATAAAAAATGTCAATGTAAATGCGTTTTCTTTACTCTGTTTCAAAAAAAACCCCTACATAAATGTTTAGAACATGGTTCAAAAGAATAGCAGAATGTAATTTAAAACAGTTTCAAATAATGACATTCAAAAAGCTATAGTCCTTATTAGCAGTTTTGTTGGAGAGCTCAAGGATGCAGATACATTAAAAAGTGAGCTCCGCTGAACTGGTTACTATAGGTTACCATGATCTCACCTATTTGTAGATATTTATAATTAAGTCTGTAACCTTGGCATTCCTTTACCAGTCACTTCTAAATCACAAGACACATAGCCCATCTTAGCTATCTGTTTTCCAGTGTCATGAATCATGAATTTCTGGGAGGTATTCTAAAAAACAACAATGTAAGCATAAACTTAAACCAATTGCTCTCTCTTTCTTGGCTTCAGACAGCATGTAAGATCACAACTTCAGATTTCTGACATGTCAGCCTGAGCACTGCTCTGTGTAAATACGCATCAATTTTTCTCAAAAAACATTTTTAGATATATAACTATATATTTAGTAATATTGTTTACCTACTTATCAGTTTTGTTTAAAAGTCTTTTCCTCTAGAAAGGCTAAGAATTCATCCTGAACAATTTCAGAAAAAAACCCACTTCTACACTATTTCTGAGTAACGTTTAGGTCATAAAACTGTTGTTTGGTTTTTGTTTTTTTAAGCATATATAAAGGGGGTGGAATGTTTTCCTTGTTTCTTTATCCAAAAATTGTCACATACCTTCTGCAAAAGCTTTATAAAATGGAAATTAATAATAACAAGAATTTTACCTGACACATTGTTGGTTGCCTTTCTCTTTTCCTTTTAATCTAAGCAAAAATTCTTTTAAAACAATTCTGTCAGTCTACATTACACTTTCCTACAGTTCATCCACTATACAGAATTTTCAAATATTTCAGTTGCAAGGATACCATTTCTTGTGATTCCCAAACAGCTCTGTATATAAAACAAAAAGTGCCAAGATGCTCAGCACAGATCTACTCAACCCAACTCAGCCAAGACAGCAGCTGCTCTAGTCATGTGTAGCAGCAGTACAACTACAAGGCTGGGGGACTTTACTGGCAAAGATGTGTGTCTTGGCAGATAGCTGCTGGTGTGGGAGTAGGACTATATTTTCATTTTGATCTCATCAGCACCAAAATTGTCCCCATTTGACAGATTCAGCAGTGAATTTCGTCTCACGTACTTAAAAACAAAATATCAAGCTCATGTTGGTTTACCTTCCTGCAGAGCACTAGTAAGAAAATTACTATTTCAATTCTGTCTAGATTAGGAGAAATATTTAATGCACATAACACTGACAAATTGCAGTGAAAATGGTATTTGCCACAACTGAAAGAGCTATAGGTGTACTTACTATGAAGTATTTCATTAGGTTTTCTGTTCCTTGACTATGATGCAATACTGAAAATAGGTCAAGCATAAAGAATGCCATCTCAAGTTTGATGATATCTAACTATTTGTACACTTCATGCATATTTCTATAACTTCCTCAAAAATAAAAAAAAAAGAAAATTAGATGTTTGATCAATAGAAACAATTTATATAGTTCTAAGGTAGCAGTGTTTTGTGTCTAGATGGAAAAATGACTACATCAGTTTTTCATCACTTCATTTTCCCTCATCTTTCATTTTTTGTGTGTCTGAAGTCTTAAAGTCTGATGAGACAGAGGACACAGCACAGCACATTCAGCAGTGGCCTACATGTGTAGTCAGAAGTCTTCAAACAACTGTGTTACAGCTTTAAGCTAAATGCACAGAAATTTCTTTTTGTGAACTTATTCATTACTTCTTGTTTGTGCAACTATAAACGTATTATAGTCTTTTACATATTGTTAATAAAATAATTTTTGTCAGCTCAAAATTGCATTTAATAGATAGCTAACAGGGACTGTTCCTCTGCAGAGATCCTGCGCAATGGACAAATTCAGAAGGTTCCAACTCCTCACATATCCATGTATCTCCACAAAGGATCACTTCACGTATCCTCTATGATCACAAAAGACTTTTCAGCACCTTACAATAAAACATAACAAATCATTCCCTTCATCTTATCTTTGCTGCTTCAGAGAAATGTAGATCCAAAACAAACACAGAAGGGAAGGAGATCTTCCCTGGCCCCTACTAGCAGCCAGCAAAAAACTTAAGGCATGGAGTTAATGAAACACACCAAAACCATAAAATAGAGCAAATCAGCTTGCTTTCCTATTCATCTGGAAATGTTGCTATACCAGCTTATAAATTAAATCCAGCTTCTTAAATGGAAATAGATGACTAAACAGAAAGAGAAAGAGGACAACCATACAGAAATTCCTATGAGGTAAAGCAGGAATTCCTTTACCTTTGTTTTGTTAAGATCCCTCTCTGTAAACCATAAAACATTTACAGAATGGATCCAAATTAGATCCATTACAGAATCAAAGTGATAGAGGTGTTCAAGCTACAAGTACACTGAGACTTACAATGGCCTCATTTCAAAGGCTCGGCAGAATGATGTGTCTGGGATTCAAGTCATCCTGGATTCACTCAACAACAGACATCTTACGAGAAAACTGTACCTTCCCAGCCAGCAGAACTGACTGCTATGTGAACATCAGGTCAATTAGCTAGTCTTAGAAGTAATAGTTTTCATTCCTATTTATTCCTGACAATACAACAGGATTAACTTCTCTTACTAAGTGAAAGACTCCGTTACAGTTGCACACCAACACTGATTACTGCATGTTTCAAATTGACCCATGTAATGTCAGTTTAAAATTAATATTTTTGAAGTAATGTGTTTGCATATAGAAAAACCAATCAAATATTTGTTGTGGAATGCCAGGTGACTCTTAATCCCTGAGTAAGGTTTAGGACAAATTGGTTGTATAAATTTATAAACTGGTTGTATCCAAAATTGAAATAGGGACCAAAACAGAAGTGTGTTATGTCTCATTTAAGATTCTTATTAAATCCAGTAAGTGCTATCCAGTCATTCTTCCTGATTAACTGTACAAAACTAATAAAGACTAATAAGGAAAGTCATGAATACACTTAACATCTTGCAAATCAGTAATTAGGATTTTTTTTTCCACCTATCAGATCTGCTATAGATTTATACATTATAAACTTATGTTTATCTCTAAATTATAAAACGTCATAATTGTTATTGATCAACTTCTTTCACTTTTAAAATTAGCTAGTACTTCATTCTGTAAGTTTATTTTCTTCCAAGGAAGTAAATGGAGCATATAGAATTACTCAATAATAATAATCATCATCATCATGACTCCATCCTAAATTAACATTCTGATACAAATACTGTATCACTCTTTACTGGGTTAGTAAAGTTTTAATTATTACTGAACAAATTCACCTTTTTGAAATGAGCAAAGTGTGCACTACCTTTGTGAATAAAACATATTTTAACATATCTTAAAATTAAATGTAAGTTTTTAAATTAAGTTTTACTGTATTTCTTCTCCTACTCCTTCTGAAACAGTTGAAGGGAATCTGAGTAGCAATCTCTAGAGTACTGTATGAAAATAAGTGCCTAAAGCCAAATCCATCCATCAAGATCAAACACAAGAGGCTGTTTCTGAGCTACTGCGTCCTATATAAGCTCAAAAATATACGAGAAGGAGAGGAAAGACACTTTGAACAAAACTAAACCCTTGGTGAAGGCACAGCAAATAGACAACTACACAACAAGGTAGTTCATTTGGTATTTACACTGAAATAACAGAAAAGGATTTTTTGTAATGTTCACACAAAAATTCTATGTCTGACATCAACAGGTTTTGCTCTTGTTGTGAACAGTTACAAGGTGTCTGAATAGTGTCATCTTCTATTTGCTCTAATTCACTAGTACTTCTCTTGACCTTTTTGTCATGACAGGTATAAGGTGGTAGATCCTCTTCTAGTCTTAATGCTTTTAAGTTGCTTTTTTCACATTACATAGTACTTTCTGAAGGAGATTGCAGAATATTTTCTGTAATTTTAGATGGGTAAAATTCCCTTTATCACTGTCTTCTATTTTTTGTAAATTAGATCATCTTTAAAATTGCTATAAACCAATCTAAAATAGGTGATAATTGGATTTTAAACAGCCTTGCTCTCTTCAATCATCTCCTATCATATATAGGCAGATCTGAAAAGTGGAAGCGAGGTTATTATATTTTTTTAATTTGGTAGAAAAAGTTCACTCAAGCAAACAGCACAAGAGGGAACAGAAGGAAAATACTGTACCAGTAATATGCAGTCTTACAGGTAATTCTTCATGACTTCTCTTGGGTGACTCTTCCAGATTTCTCAAAATTAGTGTTTTCAGTTAACAAGTTGTTTCAGGAATTTGGTTCAAGGTCAAATAATGAAACAAAAAAAGGCTTTTTCAAAGTAAGAAAATGGGCACAAAATTAAAAAAAAACAACTGGGAGAAGACAAAAAAAGTAAAGTGATAATTTTAGACTGGGGATTGGTAACTGAAAAATGATTTTTTTTTTCCCAATTTTATTGTAATAAATGTTGATATTTAAATGAAATTATATACCAGTTGAGCTTGTATCTATACGTAACTTGATAATAAATCCTTTCTTTGAATTACTACAATATGCCTTATTTTAAGACTGCATTCTTGAAAAGCAGGAGGGTGAGCATGGAAGAGGAGACATTCCTCAGGCAAAAATTAAATTAAGCTTCTAGCAGTAATTACTAAGCAATAAGGAAAAATTAAATAATTACAAGGCATTTAAGTAATGTAGAGAGCTATCTACATCATCATCTTCAGGCTACTTTAGTCAATCAACCACAGCCATCTCAAAGACCAAAAATATGAGTTCCAGAAGTCAGAAGGAGTTCCAAAGAGGTAGATGCTTCCCTGACAATGGTACACTGTAACCATTAATACAGAAAGCATTCTATTACAAAATGTGTCACAGTCTTTCTTATGATTTTCTTTTGACAGTCTATAATTCCAACTAGTGAATTTCATGACATACTGAATTCCTAGAGCATGGAAGTATCAGTGAGAAGTCTGACTTAGTTTGAGTAGACTTTTAAAGTAAAACAAAACCAAATGTGGCCAGAAATGCTGAATGAAGTGAACTGTGAAGAAGTCAACTTATACTACAACGTTAAACATTGCTGGTACATTCATTCATTCGGTACATGCGTACCATGCATGCAGCTTGTATACTACACAAAACAAGCATAGAGCAGAAATTTGTCATTTAGATAAGCTCTACCAGAATAGTTGTCTCCAACAATGTAGATATTTTCAAAATGTAAATGCATATTGGAAACCGAATACTCTTACTGAAAAGTGCACTTGATTCTTGTGAAATGGTAAAGTATGTAGTCTTTGAGTTGCTTATCAGCTATTTACCAGATGCACAAACTTACGGCAGACTGGAACAAGATTGCCCTTTACAGATAATTTTGAAGTCAATGTCTTTTGCATTTTTTTCCTTTGTTTTAAGTGGGTGAATGAAAGTGCCTCTGGGGTGCATAGAAATGGTATTGTGACTTTTTTTTTTTTTTAAGCTTGAATTTTTATGGTAATTAAATAATTTGAGACCATTGTATAGAATCATAGAATCATTCAGGTTGAAAAAGAGTCTTAAGATCATGAAGTTCAACTGTCAACCTAACACTACCAAGTCCACCACTAAACCATGTCCCTATCAGTTTTTTTCTCTATATACCCTTCAAAGTACAGTAGATGCTATTGATCATTGTCTACCAAATCTAACAGCACTGATATTTACTGATAAGCCTCAATAACTTGCAAGGAGGAAAAACAAAACCCCAAACCCCAACAACTCAGAAGACTGAGCCCAAACTAATGTTCCTGTTAAGCAAAGCCAAGCTCTTTGCATCTCTCCATTCCCACAGGCAGCAGCTAATCAGCACACTGTAACTCCAAACCCACAAATGCATGTGTTTCTACCAGCTTGTACGGACAAGAAGTAAGATACCCAAAGGAGTTGAAGACATCTCCTCCATTTCAAACATTTAACATAAACACTAACTATGGGGTTAGTTAATCACTAGTCCCATTCTAGACTAACTGATGAAACTTTAAAATCTCAAGACACTGTTCAGAAGTCAGGTCTAAACATGCTACAGTGAACCTCCCATGTGCCCTAGGATGAATTTCATGGAGTGTAAGAAACATACTCCAGGAACAGAAAAAAATAAAAAGCCATTATAATGAGTATTTCTCTGGAGTGTTTTTGTGATCATCAAAAATACTTTAAAATGCTGCAGAATTATATCCTAAGTTTTGCTTGATATACGTTCAGTGTAGTTATACAGAATAAAGGTGTGAAGTTGCAATTAAAAAAAAAAATCAAATGTGCAATGTAGCCTTATGGTGTTGAGACTGTTTATTGTTATTGAAAAAATAAATGTGAATATTTCTTACCTCAAATGTCCACTCTGCTTCTTCATCTCCATCCAGAAGCATTTTTGTCTCCTTATACACCTTCCCTACTTCCAGTTGCAATGGGGACACATTAAATTCAATTCTTTGCAAATTAAAGCCAATTCCAACTCCAATAGCCTTTAAGAAACTCTCCTTTAAGGCCTAAAACATGGAATAAATGTATTTTATTCATACTGTCTGTTTTCAAACTATACTATAAACATTACTTCTGAGCAGACACTATAAAGCAAATACCTTTAAGACTTACACTACTATAAATATGAAGGCAGACTGATGCAAATATCAAGAGAAAGAGTTATCACTTTTGTTAATAATTTTGTTAATGGCAGCTGTACTAAGGTTCTCAAAGCCATTCTAACATAAAAAAAATATCACTAAAACATAAAACCCATTAAAGTATTATCTCCACATGAACATTACTATAATGAATATAATAAAAAAAATATATCAAAAGAGAATGTGCAGGTTATAGCACTGCAGTCTTTAAATTAAAAAAAAAATATTACCCAGTGTCGATGAAACATATCCAGCTGCATCCATTCATTACTCATAGACTTGATTACACACCACTCTGTTTCAGTAAACTGTCGCTCCATAATGCGGAAGAAATTTGGAATTGAGCTACTACCTATAAATTAGAGATATTTACAGACATTTTAATACTGTAGTAATAATAAGCACATTACCTGTTGTTATTGCTCTAGAAAAACCTCAAAAAATATGAGCCAACTCTTCTCTACAATCTGAATTTATATAGTCTTGAAGTAGTAGTGTTGATGATGGTTCAGGATGCAGTATGAAGAAAACCCCATCCCTACACCAGCATTAATGCATTAAAATGTGAAATGAAAGTCATAAACATATTGTGTATTTTCAGCATTCTCTAAAAAGGAAAGTATTTAACCAGTGCTGGTTTTATGTATATAAAAATATATTCAGCTACAAAATTAGCATATACAGTGTTTGACATCTGACAGCTTGATTTAGTAAAGTTTTATAAAGTTTCTCAGAATTCATCAAGCTATTCTGCCTCCTGCCCTTGGATACTGAGATACAAAACACTTTTTTCAGAACATGTAGAAATACCACCTCCCAAATTTATCACATGCATATTAAGCCTTTTGGATTTATTCTGCAAGAAAAATGAGGTAGGGAGATGCCCATAAAGACAGTAAGAAAGATAGCAAGGAAAAAAAAAAAACAAACACAAAAACCAAGACACCAAACCTTCAAATCCTTAGATTAAATTTAAGACTCTAAACATAATCACAGCTGTGTAGCACTGCATCAACTCTTCCGGGGCTACACTACTCTTCCCCACTAGTCTAAATGTATTTTGCAGAAGACACTACAGACTGTTTGGTTATATTGATCAATAGCATTTCTATAATACACTGGAAGCTACGGAACTCATTACATATTTGGCTAATCACCCAGAGCCTATATCATCAATCAGCATACCATGCAATCTGTGCAAATAGGGCTTACAGCTGGCTAAACAGACAATAGCAGAGAGCAATATATTTTCTTTAGTAGGGACAATAAATATCTGAATATAGACAATTCCACATGCTGAGACAAAGCTTTTCATAAGTTACACCATGTTCTTATTCAAAAGAAAATATTAGTTATTTAGTCCAAAACAGTCTCCTCTCCCAATATCACACTACTTTTAAAGAACCCATCACTAAATAATTGTTTAACGAAGATGCAGATTCTAAGCCTAGCTCTGTCACTGATTCTGTGACTGACTACAGGCAAGGAACTTTCCTTCTCTACACTAATGTTCCCCATCTTAAGCCAGGGTTAAGGATATTAACCCCTCTCTATAAAGTGGTTGTCTTCTACAGATATCTAAGCAGTACATAAATATAGGTATTGGCAGCAGTAATAATTGATCTGAATGAACTAATGTCACACTTGAAGCACACACTCAGGTTTTCTGACAATTTCCAGATCATATTGTCAAGTGTAATCTGACACACACATCACACAAGACATGGCAGTGACAGAGATGCCCTCAATTTCATTTATAGACTAAAGTCAAGAAAACATCTTAAGACAGAAATTTTGTTGACAGTTGCAGTAGTCAGCTAATGGAATGATCTAAAACAACCTAAGGACAGAATTAACTTCTCTGGAGAAAATGATGATACTGAAAAATAAAAGCAACCACAATTTCAAGTATGTTTTGATGGATTACCAAAGCAAATTAAATATCCATCTACTCAGACAATCCAACTTCCCTAAAACAATGAAGAGTAACAAAAATAAAATTTCAAATTGAAGAAAGGTTACAGCCTGTCATCCCTGAGTTTATATCGTCTATTTTATGATCAAATAACTGTGTTAACACCTGCTTCAAATAATCCACATATTTTTTTCTTTCTCTTCTTCTCTCAAGTATTTAAATCAACAGTGATGAAGCACCAGCCTGTTCAGGTGATTCAAACTACAAAACATCCAAGAATGTCCTGGTGTACCCTTTCTCCTCCATTACCTTCAGCGTTTTTCAAAAACACAGGGCTACCCACACTAGCAAAGACTATCCAAGACTATCCACACTACAGTACCTTCAGCACCTAGAGGCATATGCCTCCTGTGTTGTCAGTCCTTCCACCATCCAAACCTTATCATACATGGTGAATACACTGGATATTTAAACTGTTTAGTCATCCCAAGTGTATATGAAACCCATATGCTACTGCCTTTTCACTCCTTACCCTTTTTTTGTCCTAGGTTTCTTCAGCTGTTCAGCTATCCTTGATGCTTATGTTCAGACTTACACAGCACTTTCCCCTCCACTCATCATCCATCATGTCCCTCCTCTGAAAAGCTCAGGCACTGCTTTCTGCTGAACTGCCCTCCCATCCCGTTTCCTTCTAACACAGTACAGCTCCTTCACTCTGAGGAATGGATCAGACTAGAGGAGCCAGGACTATTCTCCACATATTACTAGTAGTACCATAGTCTGCCTAGTCAATTTCCCCATATTTGCCTCAATATCAGAGAAAGGAAGAGTCACAGAATCATGAACAAATTTAGGTTGGAAAGGACCTTTGGAGACCACCTGTTCCAATGTACTGTTGAAAACAGAGTTCTATGTTAGGTTACCCAGGGCAGTGTCAACAGAGTTTTTACCTGTTCTCCAGGAAACTTATCACAGTGTTTTACTGTTCTCATGGTGAAGAATTGTTCTACTGAGACAGAACTCCCCCTGAAGCAACATGAGCTTGTTGCCTCTTGCCCTGTTCTGGAGCAACATCATGAAGACAGCTACCTATGTCTTCTCAACAGCTACCTTTCAGGTAGACTGGGATTAGATTCCCCTACTCAGAACTTTTCTCCTCTTCAGGTTCCACAAAACCAGCTCCATCAACATAGGTCGAGTTCCCCAACCCTTTAATCACCTTGGTGGCCTTTCACTAAGCCCTCTTCGATGTTCCCATGTCTCTCATGGCCTGGGGGATAAGTGAACAAAATTAGAAGCAGCAGAGTTTTCTTTTAGATGCTACCCTTTCTGCTTTTATTCCGGGGGAAAAAAAAAAAAAGCGTCTCAAACATACTTGCCACAATTTACAAAAACTTTCTTTGAAAGAATGAGAATAACTTCCATACAGCATTTATTCAGTTGGTTTTAAATTTGTATTTCTAAATTACCTCTCATTTGCCAACTTATTTCAGAAATAAATTCTGTTATCAATAATTATACACTTGGACTTACTTCTGTGACCATTTCAATTCATTAATAATCCAACTTCTAGATTACAAAATAATTACATTTCATTAAAAATACACCAAAGAGCTTTCATGAAAAATTATTCCATTATGCATACTTTAGAGCTAACAGCTATTTTTGATACAATTTTGGATTACACACAGTACAGTCTTTAGATGATCATCTGAGGCACAGGGAAAGACAGGGTACCAGGGTTCTTCACTGAACAACTGAGCTTCCTATTCTGATGATAACTTTCTAAGACCTCCCCGAGTATTCTTCCTCCTGTGTTTATTGCCTGTATTTTTCTCTCTGAGAAGTTTAGGAAAAGTGCTAAACATTTTTGGTAATCTCAAAGCCTACTCAAACTTAAGAGAAGAAAGAAAAAATGTGCCTTGATATTTTAATGATCTTCATGAAGCCACAATATTTTCTACAAGGAAATTACAATTGTAACAGAATGCAAAAGAAACTAGAACGGAAGTTGGAACTCTGATAGGAAATAAAGGCAAGACAAAGAAGTTATTTGTAAGGGTTATCAACCAGACATATCTTAAAAGTACTTTTAAAAGTTTCAGAAGATCTTCCCCAAGACTGAAAGTATTCACCGCAAAAAACAACATAACATAATGAATATTTGCATAAACACAGTTAGGTTTTGGCTTTACCTTCAGACTTTTGTTAACTAAAAATGTGAATTTAGTATCTGCAGTTCATTGTGCAGTTGTTTCTTCTTCTCTACAAGATGATACCAATTTTCTAAGAGAAATTTGGCTGCAGTGTGGAGTTCTGGTACATAAATGCTCTAAAACCCTTAATGCATGCAAACTTCAGTATTTTTCTAAGAGCAAGTTCTATGAAAATTCTCTAAGTAAGATCTACGAACTGGAGAAGCATATAAAAATGAACTGACAGTAAAAAACTGAAAAACAGATTCTCTGAAAGAACAAATGCTTTTATGGTAATGCACACGTATAATACAAATACTTCCAGAAATACGTCATCTTTACGTTTTCAATGATCAATGATGAGGCCAGACACTCACTGAAACCTATGTAATTGTACTCATGTTTCTTATTTAACTTACAGAAAGAAAAGAGATTCCTTTAAGATATGCCTATGCAGGTTGTAGAAAACTGCTCATATGATCTCGCTGTGCTTCTAAACATCCATGCATAAACAAGATCCAGAGCAGACACCATACAGCTGGGTTCACATAGTACTAGCCCTTGCTCATACAATCTAGCACTCTTTTTCCAGTGCTCAGGGTTATTCATAAAACCACTTAAGTGTTGAGTAAAAAAATTATGTGGGTATACAACTATGTGTAAAATTGTAATTGAAATGCTCAAAACTGCATTTAAAATATTCCCTCTTGTAAGCCATCTTTACAGCTTCTGAGGAATCAGAATTTAGATTCTGATTCCAATAAATCCAATATACTTAAGAGCAATCTTGTCCACATCAGTGGCAAAGTGATTCCTGTAACACAAAATGTGTGCACTTCAGAAAAAATATTTATGTATGTAAATTCTATAAATGGGTGAGCATCAGGATATTGCACAACATTTATCTGATCAGTCAAACTTCTGACTAGGTGGAGGTTCATCACTGAAATGGAATAAATTCAATTTTGTGATTTTTAAGAATACATAAGAGAGATAAGACATGTTTTCATATGAGATTTCAAAAATAAGTGGAGTTGGAAACAGCAAAAAACAGGAAGCTTGTTCCACAGATGGCTTATGATCCATGGGAAAAGATAACTATCCCCTTTAACTATTAAAACTCTGAAAGAACACTCTCTCACCTATTGTTGTCTTGCTTTAAGAGAAGAAAAATTGTGATGGGAGCAGATCTATGAAAATAATGGATAAAAGGATTAAAAAAAAAAAAAAAAGAGAAAAATG